TTCATCTATTGATGGACACTTAGGTTGATTCCATATCTTGGCTATTATAAATAATGCTGTAATAAACATTGCTTTTCTCATTTAGTGTTTTGGGTTTCTTCTGATAAATACTCAGACCTGGAGTCGCTGGGTCCTTCTTTGTCTCTTGTTATAGCCTTTGTTTTAAACTCGATTTCGTCTGATATAGGTATTGTTTTTTCTTTCTTTGTTTGTTTCCATTTTCATGAATACATTTTTCCATCTATTTACTTTCAGTCTGTGTGTGTCTTTCAATATTAAGTGGTTCTCTTTAGACAGCATATTTTTTTTTTTAGTTGATTTCAGAGAGGAAGGGAGAGGGAGAGATAGAAACACCAATGATGAGAAAGAATCATTGATCGGCTGCCTCCTGCACCCCCCTCCTGGGAATTGAACCCGCAACCTGGCATGTACCCTGACTGGGAATAGAACTATGATCTCCTGGTTCATAGGTCAATGCTCAGCCACTGAGCCACACCGGCTGGGTGTAGACAGCATATAATAGTCTAGTTTTGTTATCTGTTCAGTTAATGTATGTCTTTTGATTAGATCATTTAATCCATTTGCATTTAATGTAATTGTTGGTAGATATATATTTATTGCCATTTTATTATTCATATTTTTGGTCTTTTAAAAATTCTTATTAAGAAGACCCTTTAGCATTTCTTATAATACTGGTTTGGTGGTGATGAACTCCTTTACCTTTTTCTTGTCTAGGAAATGCTTTATCTGTCCTTTGATTATTTCATTTTTTATTTTTTGTTAATCTTCACCTGAGGATATTTTTCCATTGATTTTTAGAGAGAGTGGAAGGGAGGAGAAGATACAGAGAAAAACATCGATGTGAGAGAGACACATTGATTGGTTGCCTCCCGCATGTGCCCTGACTAGGGCTGGGGATCAAGCCTGCAACTGAGGCATGGTGCCCTTGACCAGAATTAAACCCAGGAATCTCAGCCCTAGGGCCAACTCTCTATCCACTGATCCAAACAGGCCAGGGCTGTCCTTTGATTTTGTGATAGCTTTGCTGGGTAGAGCAGTCTTGGTTGTAACTCCTTGCTTTTCATCACTCTTGATATTTCTTGCCAGTTCCTTTGGGCTTTCAAAGTTTTTGTTGAGAAATCAGCTGACAGCCTTATGGGAGCTTTTTCTTGTAGGTAAATAACTGCTTTTCTCCCATTCTATGGATTGTCTTTTTAATTTTCTTGATGATGTGCATGAATCACGAAAGTTTTCCATTTTGATGAAGTCTAACTATCTAATATTTATTTTGTTGCTTGTGCTTTTAGCATCATCCTTAAGAAACCATTTTCTAATTCAAGGTCAAGATTTGCTGCTATGTTTTCTTTAGAGAGTTTCATAATTTTAGTTCTTACATTTAGAACTATGATACATTTGACTTAATTTTTGTATGTGATATGAGGTAGAGGTCAAATTCTATTCTTTTACATGTGGATATCTAGTCCTAGTATCATTTGTTGATAAGACTGGTATTTCTCTATTTATTTTTTTTGCATCTTGTCAAAAAATCAATTGACCATAAACATTACAGTTTAGTTCTGAACTCTCAATTATATTCCATTGTTCTATATGTCTATCCTTATTTATGACAATACCACACAATCTTTTTAAAAAAATATATTTTATTGATTTTTTACAGAGAGGAAGGGAGAGGGATAGAGAGTTAGAAACATCGATGATCGAGAAACATCGATCAGCTGCCTCCTGCACACCCCCTACTGGGGATGTGCCCGCAACCAAGGTACATGCCCTTGACCGGAATCGAACCTGGGACCCCCCAGTCCGCAGGCCGATGCTCTATCCACTGAACCAAGCCAGTTAGGGCAATACCACACAATCTTGATTACTTTGTAGAAGATTTAAATTTGGGAAGTCTGAGTTTTCCAACCTTGTTCTCATTTTTTAAAGATTATTTTGGAAATTCTGAGTCCCTGTAATTTCCATATGAATTTTAGTTTTGGTTTGGTAATTTTTGAAGGAAAAAAAAGGCAGCCATTATTTTAATAAATAATGTTGAATCTGTAAAACACTTTGGGGAGCACTTCCATCTTAACAATATTAAGTTTTCCAATCCTGGAACATGTGATATTTTTACATTTATTTAGGCATCTAAATATTTCTCTCAATAATGTTGAGTAGTTTTCAGCATGTAAATCTGTAGTTTTTGTTTAATTTATTTTTATGCATTTTATTCTTTTTGCTATTGTAAATGGAATTTTGTTAATTTCCTTTTTGGATTTTCCTTGCTAGTGTGTATAAATGTGATTGGTTTTTGTAAAATTAATTTTGGATATTGATCTTGTCTCCTATAACCTTGCTGAAATCTTTTGTTAGTTTTTTGGTGGATTCCTTTAGATTTTCAATACACAAAATCATGTCATCTACGAATAGAGACAGTTTTACTTTTCCCTGTCCAATACAACTGTCTTTTCTTTCTTTTTCTTGTGTAATTGCCCTGATGGAACCTCAAATACAATGTTGAATGAAGTAGCAAGAATGGACATCCTGGTCCTGTTCCTGATTTTAGAGAGAAAGCATACAGTCTTTTAATACTAAATATCATCCTAGCTATGGGGCTTTATCACACATGCCTTTATTATGTTCAGAAATTCTCATTATTCCTAGTTTATTAAGTGTTTTTATGATGAAAAGGTGCCAGATTTTGTCAAATTACTTTTGTGTGTATACTGAGATAATTATGCTCTTGTTTTTTACTCTATTGATATAGTATGATGTATATGATGTAAATCTACTGGTTTTTAGAATGATAAACCAAGCTGGGATAAATCCATTTGGTCACAGTATAATTCTTCTGTTGTTGGATACAGTTTGCTAGTATTTTGTTGAGGAATTTTGCATAGAGTACATTGATCTCTATTTTCTTTGCCTGTGATATTTATTTATTTGGTTTTACCAGTAGTATCAGAGTAAGATTGGCCTCATAGAATGAGTTAGAATGTGCTGTTTTTAATTCATAGATTTATCAGCTAGACCAAATGAGTGTTTTTTTTTTCTTTCAGGGGAGAGTGCGAACACAGTCCCCCACTACCACAAATTAGGCAGTCGAGCTTCCCACATTTGGGGAAATCGCAGGGGTCAGCATACCCGGAGTGCAATGGATAAGCCCTGGGGAAACCACCTTCATGATCATGGTATCTCCCCTGCCAGGTAAGTCCAAATGAGTATTATCTGTTTGTTGTAGGCACCTGAATCCTTATCTGAAATGAATATTCCACACAAACATGACATTTAACAGAGTTTCATTGAAATCTGGTACACAACAGATATCCTAAAAAGACATTGATAGAACTAATTAAGTCAAGCTGAAACTAATTGAAAACTGAAAAAAAAAGAGCTATGAAAAAAAGTTTCACAAAGCTATGAAACTTCATGCAACACAATTTCTATAAATACTGATAGAAACACATTTTTGGTAAATTGATAGTTTCACCAAATTGGATTTTGATGTTCAAAAGCAAATGTTTTAAAAGTTGATAAATTTGGAAATTTTGCTGAATTGACCTTTAGGAGCTTGATCATTGGTGTCATGTCTTCAGTAAATAGATGTCCAACTAATTGCCTAGTTTCTGGATGCAGATAAAGGTCAGAAGGGTATAAAATTAAGAAGAATATGTGAAAGCCACTTTTCCCTCCCTTTTTTGAGAAGTAGGAAGTGAGGTTAAGTGCTGGTAGTAAGAGATGAAAATCCAAAGACTTTAAGTGGAAAAGTTTGTAGGGGTCAAAGAGATGACAGGATTGAGCAAGTCAGGCTTACCGAGTTGTGCTCAGTGCCCAGCTCTGTTGATTCCAATTCCAATGTTTTGTGATATGTTTTGTTTCTCAGAACTCTCATTGATGAGGGCACAGGAGTAGAGAAATCAGATGATTAGTAAGTGGGTGGGAGAGAAAGGCATGGGGTTGAATAGGGGCTGCCATGAGAATGGATGACATGTTGGATCATAATGTTCAGGCTGGGTTGAAAGGAAGAAAGGCCTGGTACACACAGGGAGACAAGAGGGAATTCAAAGGCCTGGAGTTGCAAGAGGTTGAAAGTGTGATATGTACACAGGGGTATGAGAGAGCCAGAGGCAAGAAGGTGGGTTTACAGAGTAAGATTCTGGAAGGTAAAAACTCAGGGGGTAAAGTAGAGCTGGTCTTGAAAGGGTCAATGGCCTGTTAAAGAGAGTGGGCTGCATGATCATTTCCAGGAGGAGAGAACAATAAAGAACTCTGGAGCCAGAGTCTTGAAGGGGTCATGCACTTGGATAGGGTAAGTGAGCAAATGTGACGGTAGCAGGTCTTGGGATGGTGAACAAGATTCTGGGCCTAAGACTTCATTAAATAAATAACCAGAAGCTGTTTCTTCCCACATCCACCCTCAGTCAGACCAGCATGAATCACCCAGTGTGTTATAAAAAAGGGGGTAGCTGGTTCTCAGTATTTAAGATTTCTCCAGAGAGGCCTTTGATCTTTCAGTACTTGCTTGTATCTTTGCTAGCTCCACATTGACTTCTCAGTTGTGTTTTGAAGTAATGATACTCTGTCTGTTGCGCTAGCATATCCTTTTAGGTCTGATCGATTGAATTTAATGGTTCATTATGTGACTAGCTCTAGGCTGTTTTCTCCCAAAGGCAGACAGGTTAGAACTGCAATCTTGCCAGCTTACTTCTGGGTTGTGCCAGCAGGTGGTCTAGGCCTTAGCAGTTAAGGCTAACACCATTAGAAAGAGGTGGTACAACCAATGTCAAGTCCCAAAAGAGAAGGGCTTCACATAAAGATGGAGAAGCCAAGGATGCCAAAATGGGGAATAAGAAAGCTCTCCTCCCTCCACCTTTGCCCTTGATGTGTGATTTTGAACTTTTCCTTTAACCTATAGTGTCTGCATGACTAAGGACTGGCAGAAGTACTCATAAAATTGCCTTAGTCTGCTCACACTACTCTAATAAAATACCATAGACAGCTTAGAAACAACAACATTTTATTTTTCATTGCTCTGAAGGCTGGGATGTCCAAGACCAAGATGCCAGGATGGTTGGGTTCTGGTGAGGGCCATCTTTCTGGTTCATAGCTGTGTCTTCTTCTAGTGTCCCTAAGTGGTAGATGGAGTAGGGATCTCTGAGGGGTCTCTTTTATAAGGACACTAATATTGTTCATGAGGACTCCACCCAAAGGCCCCACCTCTTAACACCCTCATGCCAAGCATTAGGATTTTAAAAAAATGTATCTTTATTGTTGAAAGTATTATAGATGTCTCCTCCCACCCCCCATTAACCCCCTCCCACCCCTCACCTACCCCTCTCAAGCATTAGGATTTCAACATATGAATTTTGGGGTGGGGGAGGACACAAACATTCAGACCATAACAAAAACCAATATATCAGTCTTCAAAATTCACATTTTAAGTGTCTTCCTCTCAAGGTGCTACATATCTCTGCCCTGTCTCTTCTTTTTTCATTGTCACCTAACTTCTTGAATTGTCTTTATGGTTATTTTTTCCCCCTCTCAAGAGACTGCTCTATCAGAGGTTAACGGTGAACACCCTAATTCCCAAGTCCAGTGGCCACAGATACTCATTAAAGCACTACCTCAGAGGCTGGCCAACATTAGGGTCTGACAATACAAAAATTATCTAGTGTCTGCCCTCAAGAATTCACAATCTATACAATAGATGTTTTGACATCCTCTTCCCCTGGACTTTGAAACACCAGTGTTCTAGTTGTAGTCCTTTTACCATCCTCAGAGGGCTTCTTTCTCTCTCTGGTCTTTGCATGTTGGCTGTATCATAGGCTTTTTTAAAATTTCTCTTACTCTGTATTTTTTGTTGGAAATTTCATCTAGTCCAATTGCTTCCATTCTAATGTACGTGTATGTGTGACTTTCACATCTATATTGCTAGTTTACATATAGCCTCTGAGCTCACATAACTGTTACATATATCCTTTGTCCACATGATAGCTCAAGAGGATTAGTATGCTTTCAACAAAGTTCATCATGGCAATCTCAGATCTGCTTTTCCTTTGCTATTCTGTTGGTAGAAAGATTCTGTGAATGAAACTCAACTTCTCCCTCTACCTCATGTAATCCCACACAATGTCTGTTCTAATCTGTCTCTGTCAGTTTCTACCTCCCCTGCCAGTGGGCTTAGTGTAGTCTTCAGTCAACTCCCCTTGAATTCCTAAACCAGGCTCCTACTTGGTTTCTTTGCTTTTAGTCTGTCTATCCCATCTTCCAGTCTGATGCAAGAATGATCTTTCTGAATGTAAATCTGATGCCTTTTTCTCTCCACTTAAAAATCCTTCAGTGGCTTCCCCTGAAGCACTTTATCATGTCTTACGTGGCCCTTTGTAACCTGATCTTGCTTGGCTTTCCTGCTTCATTTCCTCCACTTCTTCATCAAATACTAAACCCCAGCTGCACCAAATTACTTTCTTGGAATTTCTCAATCACTACATACTGCTTCATAATTCAGTGCACTTATACCTGCAGCTCTTGCTGCCTGGAATGCCCTCACAGCTGACTTCTCTCAGCAGTTAGAAATTAATACTTACTTTCTTCAAGATTCAGCTGTTTCCTCCGAGGTTCTTCTTTATTGGCCTCCTTTCTTGGTACTCCAGTAAGCCTGTGTGCACCACTTTCATACTACCTGTCTACTATGCTGCGTTTATTTATTATCTGTCCCTCAAATTGGCCTGTGGATCCTTGAAAAGTGATCCCTGTATTTTCTATACTAGCACAGTGCTTTGAATGGAGGAATATACTTGCTGAATGTATGTGATTATTTTTGAGTGCCTTCTATGCACAAGGAAGATACTGCACTAGGTACTGTGATGAATTTTGCAGGTTCTCTTTCCCCTTAAAAAGGCAATTTCTCAGACTCCTTCATAGATTCTGTATCCTGTCTGATGTCAGCCTCCTTCCCCTCCACATATACACTCTGAGTCACTCCATTCATTTCCTTAGCTTTAATTGCTGACAACTCCCAAATCTGTTCTCCCAGTAAAGAACTCTTTTGCAAACTCCAGATGCCCCCAAGCATCTTAAACTCAGCACTTACAAAAGTGAACTACTTTATGTTTCTTTTATCCTCTGCATAAAAAGATGATTGTGGCAAAGTTTCGGCGACAATTAAAAAAAAAAAGCAGTTAGAAATTATGTCAGGATAATAACATTAAGTTTTCTGTGACATCCCTAGAAACAGCTTTTGTATTTTCTTTGAAGTGAACAGCAGTAAAGCTTTAATGTTGTGCTTCCTATGCTGGACTACATGGTGGTCTGCCAAGGTGAAGCCACAGTGTAAGCGAGGCTCACCTCCTAGAGCAGGATGGTCTTAGGCGACCCCTGTGAAAGGGTCGTTCGACCGCCAAAGGGGTCGCGACCCACAGGTTGAGAACCACTGTCCTAGAGCATCAATTCTAACAGAAGTTTGTGTGTGTGTGTGCAATATAAATTATTTGAGTTTTAAGACTGGAAAATACTATTTTCATATTGTGAACATAATGCAAAATGCCAGAAGAGTTTAAACTCCTTTCCTCAAAATGTAGGCACACAGACCATTTCTATTATTAAAGAACCCCAAGTGTAACTACCAAATTCATGTCCCCAGAGTCAGAGATATGAATTACCATATGCCCATGTATTTAAGGGCACCAAGAGGAAAGCCTTGGGGTACAGACGTTATCCAGGAGTGAACAATGGGAAATCAGCACCGCAGGAAGTTCTTTTTCAGATGAAGTAAGAGGAAACCGGGGAAGGGAGGAGTTAGTGAGCTTTAAATACCAAGCTAGGCTGAGAACTTTTTTCAATGCATTGATTCAGTCAATAGGTATTTTCAGAAGCCTATTTTGCCCCATGTTCTCTACTGGGTGCCACAAGAGTGAATTAGATAGGTCGCCTAACGTCAAGGAGTTCACTATCTAGTGAAGGGTGCTAAACAATGTAATTGTGCTTTTGCCAAAATAAAGGACGTACAGTGTGAAATTGGGCCACTGGAGAAGTGCCTAGCTTTGCTTGGGGAATTCAGTGATTATTTCACATAAGATACATCATTTCAGCTTTTGACTAAGTCTTGGAAAATGTACAGGTATTTTCTGCCTGAGGGTTTGTGAGAGTTTTCAGAAAACAGGAATATGAAATGTGTGGGAAATGAATTAGATGCTTGCTTACATCCTTGACAGTCATTGCCAACACTTAATTCCCTGGAGAGGAAGAAGCCCATTTCTTCAGCCTTGGACTACTCAGCAGTGTAGCTGAGCACTGTCCCTGCACACAGCACCGTGTTTATTGTTTTTGTAAAAGCTCAGCCTGAGAGCTCAGTATGTCAAGGACAACATGTAGCTTTCTCTTCATCATTAAATAACTTCTATTGGGCAGCTATTTTGAATCAGGTCCTTTAGTAGGAATAGGCATCCAGAAGATTGAGTCCCAGTTTCTGGCTTCAGGAGCTCAGTTGAGTGAAGGATATCAGTCAAGCAGACAGGCATTGGTGATCCAGTATGATGAAAGCTTTGGTAGGTGTATGCCCTGAGGACCATAACTACACACAGGGGCCTCATCACATTTGGAGGGTGAAGTGGAAGTTGGAAGCTTCAAAAAGGCGACTCCTGAGTAGAGGTTTGAACAAGGTCTTCTATGGTTGGGTCGCAGCCTCATCTCCTACCATTATCTGCTTCCACTCTTCATAGGAAACTACTTGATATTTTCTGACTATCAGACCGTTGTGTCATAACAGTCTTGATTTTATCCGCAAAGGCAATGATGAGTCACTGTAATTAGTGCTGGTTGAGATCAGTGTTTTTCAGGAAAGGCTGTAATCCATTAGTGAGCTGTAGAAATCAATTTAGTGAACTGGGACCAATATTTTTAAGAACTAAACTAGGAAAGAGTAGAAATATTACTATGCATATTTGTAAAGGCAAATATTTTGTGATGCTTTTGCTTCAATTATATATGCATGTGACTATTGTGTTCTGAGGTAAAATGCTCTTTGATCTGTGGATCACAGTAAAGAAAAAACCTTAGAAAACACTAAAGGTTCAGCAGAAATTAGTTTAGGCCTGTGCATCACTGAACCATCAATAACAAGGGATGGAAATACTACAACTGCTTTAGTGTTCTGGGATGGATGTTTGGGAATCAACCCAGGGAAGTGTAATACAGTTAGGTAAATTCAGTGGATTATAGAAACACTAGAGGCCTGGTGCACCAATTTGTGCACTAGTGGGGTCCCTCAGCCTGGCCAAAATGGGCTCTCCGACATCTGAGGGGTCCCGAATTGCAAAAGGGTTCAGGCCAGGCTGAGGGATCCCACCGGTGCATGATCTGGGCTGGGGAAGGATGCCGGAGGTTGGTCAGCCTGGGAGGCACCGTTGGAGGGCTCCAGGGTGTGTCCGGCCCATCTCACTCAGTCCCAGTCCTTATCAGCTGGACCCCAGCAGCAAGCTAACCTTCCAGAGTGTCTGCCCCCTGGTGGTCAGTGCATGTCATAGCGACTGGTCGACCAGTCGACTGCCCCCCTCTCCCCCGTGGTCAGTGCACATCAGTGAGTGGTTGAGTGGCCTTAGCATATCATTAGCATATTATGCTTTGATTGGTTGAATGGATGACCGGACACTTGGCATATTAGGCTTTTATTATACAGGATAGTAGTGCACCTTGGTTCACTAAGTAATGAACTTGTGTGTGTCCATGGTCAGAGGAGCCACCCAGATGTCAGGTTTTTGTACAGTTAGATATGTAAAAGGGGGCAGAGGGTTTCTGGTTGGTAGAGACTGCATCAATTAAAGGTAGTAAGGGGAGCTGTGCAAAAAACAACAACAGTCAAAATAAGGACTTCCATGCTTCTGGAGCATAAGATTAGAGGCAGGGGAAGTAGCTGGAATAGTGCATGGATGCCTAATCACTGAGGGGAGTTGTGGTAAGGAATCTGGATGCTTTTCCTATATGAATGGAGGAGCCACTGAATACAGTGGGGCCTTGACTTACGAGTGTCCCGACTAACGAGTTTTTTGATACCAGCTGTCTCTCGGCCCATTTTTTGCTTTGACAGAGTAATTTGAGTTAACGAGCTCCTTAATGAGCTTGGTCTCGGAACGAATTAAACTTGTAAGTCAAGGCCCCACTGTACTATCAAGCAGAGCATTAAGATAACAGAATCTTATCACTCTGGCTGCAGTGTGGAGGGAGGCAAGTCAGGAGACTGTTGCAGTAATCCAGGAGATGTCTTAGATTTTAGACTAGGGAGAGTGACTGCAGATTTCAGAAACATTATGGAAATGAACTCAACATGACTAGTAATTTGACTATAGAGGAGTGCAAGGAAGCAGTCCCTAGCTTTTGTAGCTGTCTCCTTTGGATATTGGGGTGATACTGTGTCACTGATCTGTTGAGGCTAGAGTTTATTATTATGATTTTTAAAAATATATTTTTATTGATTTCAGAGAGGGAGAGGGAGAGATAGAAACATCAATGATGAGAATCATTGATTGACTGCCTCCTGCATGCCCTCCACTGGGCATGTGTCCTGACTGGGAATCAAACTGAATTCCACGTTCATAGGTTGATGCTCAACTACTGAGACATGCCAGCTGGGCTAGAGTTCATTATTTTTTGAAGGGAGTGGGCATAGCTGACGACCTTGCAGTAAAAAACTGGAGCCTGAGAACCTCTGAAAAGTAGAGACATTTGCAATACATCTGGGCTCCTCTCTTGGGGGTCTAAAATTTTTTAAAGAGGTGCCTAGATGGAATAGTCAAACAACTGGGGTGAAAAGTTATCATTTACAGGCCAGATTAGTAAAACAGTGTTATTTCCCTCATATTGTCCCGGAGCCTTCAGTAAATGTTCTAGGATTCATGCACTCTTATTTGGCCAAAATATTAAAGGTGATGAAGTGTCCCTTGAGGCCACTGTGGTGATCCATTAGATTGTGAGCTCCTTGAAGGGAGAGGTTGTTTCTCCTCATCTCTGTATCCCTAGTATCAATCCCAGGGCCCAATGCATGGCAAACATTTGATAAAGACTGCATCCCTACTGCCTAAATTGATGCTGGGTACTAGCAGATGTTTAATAAGCACTTAGGGAACTGCTGAAAACTCCAAATGGGCATATATTTCTGGGGCCAAGACGAAAAACTATGAGAGTCAGCCACAATCTACTTATTACCAATAAGTTGTAAAGATGTGGTTTTAATAGTAAGTGCTTTCTCTAGGAATCAGGGATGACTCCAACTTATCTAGCTGGAGGTGAATATTCATGCCAAGAAGACAGGAAGGGGATGAATTTTTGGGCAGAAGCACTCAGAGTTGTAGGTTTATTTAATAAATGCTTTGAGTGTCTAGTATGTCACTCAAAATATGTCAGAAAGAGCTTTCCGGTAATAATGTGAAAGGCAGATTGGAGCAGAGGGAGATATGGAGAACCCTGCTAGGAGTGAGTGTCCGACTAGGGAAACTGCAGTGAAATAGCATAAGAATAGCTGTCACTGAAGCTATTATCTATCTGCTAGACCAGTGACCTCTTCACCTTCACCCTTATCATCTGAGACAATGGGTGGGTTTGGTGGGCCCAATACGCTCTGAAGGTCCAGTCCAAGATAAAAATCTCTTCTTTCCACCATACCGGGGATATGGAAATTGTGGGATCCTGTTCTGATGCATTTAGCCTGGGATGACAGCACTGAGTCTTCCCATGACTATCACCTTACTCAAGCCTCTGAGCTTTGAGAGGTGGGCAGCCTGGCCGGGCCAAGTTTGGCTTCACACTAATTAGTATACATAAAGGAGTTTCCTACTTCTCATATGCCCAGGCCATTGTGAAGCCGGATTTCCCCTTTCTCAGTTCCAAGAGAGGCCCAGATTCGACAATAAAAAATTTCCAGGAAATTCCCAGCAGGTTTAACTTCCTGATCCTCCTCCCACTTTAACCCTGTCCTTCATTTCACTCTCCCCTCCCGCCCTCCCTTCCACTCCAAGAGGAAAGAGCTGATGCTGGAGTCCAGTATCCTCTGCTCAACGCTTGCACTCCCTTGGCCAGGATAGTCGTACATCGGAGTCCTCAGGTCCTCTCCTTTGAGGCCCATTCAAGGCTTGAGAGAAGCACATGAGGGTATTACGTGATCTTGCCTAGAAACAGAGGATGGTTATAGAGCTCCTTGAAGGTTCTTAGGGTACCAGGTTCTTATGGAAGGTTCACTTCTAGATGCGCACTCTCCAACCCTTGTTAGGAAGTAATTTTTCTCTAAGAAGTCCCAGGGGCTTGGTCTTTATGCTAGATGTCATAACTCAATCCCTTTTGGGGCCAGTTTGGAATTATAGGTACACCAGAGGCCCGATGCACGAAATTCAAGAGTAGG